ATTAGACAGATGCGAAAATCCGATACGAAATTGTCATCATTTGTTTTTAAATCGATTTCGAATTTTCTAAGAGAAAATGAAATTTTCTTCACGTCGTTACATCCACCGCGTTCTCTAATCACTTCTTCGAACAATTTCGGTATCCGTTTTATCGGCTCTTCTATTATTTCTGGATTGTCTTCTTTGGTTCCAATTTTTTATAGTATACCCAGCGAACTAAGAAAACGTATTACGGTGCCATATTGCAGACTCGCAGAGACGTTGCCTAATCTGACTCGAACAATTACGATTTATACTAAATAAGCAAGTGTGCTATTACCTTTGTAAGGGGTCATAAATTATGATTGCGAAGCGACAGCGGCGAAAGCTCGGAAAGTGGACCGAATTTGATCGACGAGGAAACGAGCATGGCGGTCGAAACCGTGTAACTGGTTCCACATTCGTCTGGTTCTGGTTGAAATCGAGGCGCGGAACGTTCGCGCCGATAAATATTCGAACGCCGACGATAATAGCCGCTGCCTGCAGCTGCCGTGTTACGATCAAGGAAAGTTGGCATTGACGGCATGGCATAGTCACGCGTTCAAATCACCTCGGGATGCTGGCATTGCTCACGCGAGCTTATGAAACGCATTCCCACGATTTTTCTCTCCTCGTATCGTTACATCCGAGTAACGCCAGTAAAACCGTACCAATCTCGGAACCACGTTATTAATGGCTCCGTGCCATGGTTGCCTAACTGCACGATAACGATAATGCGTTCGTTATCTCCGAAATATTCGTCAATAAAGATCAAACGGTTCCTCGAGGCAGAGCGTGTCGCGTTCGCTCGTTTCTTTCTTCGATGTAGGCCACCGCGCTTCCAGGAACGCGTATCCCGCGCGATCCTCCAAAAAAAGAACGATCGTAATCGTACCGATAAATCGCGGCTGAACATTGTCGCGTTCGTTTCGCGGGAAAAAGCGTTCCTGAATGACAACTGTTATACCTTTCGCATCTCGATCGAGCGAACGATGCCTGACGACGTGAAGGCCGGGTATCCGATCGGGAGGAAGCGTTTCGCCGATGTGGGACACGCAGAGAGCCTCGATCTTTGAACCGTGCAACATCTATGGGCACCTGTCCCGACCGCCGGTGGTACCCTCGCGAGGACCGAACAACCACTGCGAACGCGATCGTGATCGTTGCCCGCTCGTCCGCTTCTCGGCTTGTCACCAAAGCGATCGAAAGGTAGGGATCGCCTGCCACGAGACCTAGTAAACTTGATCGAGAAGGGGGCCCGTGATCTCCCCCCGTGCATCAGCAACTCTCCACCGTCGAAAATTGCGACAGCAGTTCGCCCCCGTTTGCGAAGCCGCGACAGATCTCGCGATTCCCGTGCGCGTGTCCCGCCGAATCGTTTTCCTCTCGCGTGCCGCTGCCAAAACGTGCATCCTCGTTTTTTTACTTTGTCGGCGGATCGGATCGGGGAATTTTATCGGCGTCCAGGATCGCGGGACGCGCGCGAGCGAGCGCGCGACGTTTATCGCGCCGGTAACACGGTTTTTAAGTGTGACGCGTGCCGACCGGTTGTACCGTAGTCGTGTAATTATTCGATCGTGTACGCGGATCGTGGAATCGTTTGTTTCGTTGTGTTCCGAGGACGTCAGCCTATCTACCTTGACACGAGCTGAATCGATCGTCCGGCCGCGGCACTTAGGAAGATCCGCGCCGATTAGCCGGTGGATCTTCATGCAAATCCTCATTTTTTTACGTTACTTTGTACAAGAATTCGTATTCGAGAAAAATGTCCTTTCATCGACGAGGGAGCTTGTTAATCGCGAGAAGAAAATTGTTGTTAAGATTTATACGTTCTACTGCATTTGGAAAATCTGCGCACGCCGTGAACCCGTTACAGTGTGAGAATCGTAGCGCGATCCAGGATCGGGATACTTTTCAGCCGAACGGGTTGTGGATCGAAAGAGGTCGCAGAGGTCGTTTAGAATTCGAGTTCGTCGACGGGAAATCCCCCATCGCGAAATTACGCGCGGCTCGCGAATGCTCGGTCTTTCCGAGATAACTCTACTGAACGAGAGAGCGAACGGTCAAGGATTCCCCGTGAAGAACTGGTCGAGTTGGTTTCAGCGCGATCCCGCCTAGGCCTTCCTAGTAAACGCGTTTCTTTCGTCCATGAATTGCCTGTTCCTTTTTTTCTCATTGTTCGCATTCGAGTTCATAAGTTTATCGAAACACGATATAATCTGCGAAGAGAAATTATAATATCTTTAACATCGGCGGCTTATCTGGCGCTTTACAAGTACGCTCTTGTCGTTTTCTCGCTATATTTATTTTGTTCCCCTCTTCGGTCTCGTTCATTCAACTGTACCACGCCTTATCGTTATCTACAAGACCTCTCGAATTGCCACTTACGCTCGGACCGCGGTATTTAAAAAGGTTCGCTTTGGAGGAATTCGAATTTCGCCGCTGATTCCGAGCGCGGAATACACGACAGTGGCGCCATCTGTGGTGGCGCGGGACAAGGACAGAGAAAGCGTGCAACGAGGAGGGTCGAGGTGCCACCAACTTTTTCGCCGGACTTCGAATTCCCTGGTAAGTATTAGTGAAACATGATGTGCATGGAGGTATCCGACAGGGACAGACTTATGTATTTTACGGAGTGAGAGAAGGACGGACGACGAGTCTCTTTCTTGGCGTAAGAAATCGAGGAATGATTTGTTAATTACTCGCTTCTCGTTAATAATTTATGAACATTCGCGATCGAAGAACGTAAAACGGACCTTCCACTACTTTCGCATATAGTTTTTGTTAGTATTTTGACCGTTGTTGAACGGTTATTAATTAATTTTTCAAACTGTGTCCCGGGATAGCATCGAAAAATAAAACATCGCGTCATATAAATAATTTATTTTTTGAGTTTTCGGACATCGTTTATGAACATTTATAATTGAAGAAACTAGAATGGACCTCTGGCTACATTCCAATTACAAATTTAATCATATTTGATTCGTAATTAATAAGTTATTATTGATTTTTACGCGGGCGTGCTCTTCTAACCTATTTCCGTAATGTGTAAGACAAAGAATACTGCGACAAGGATAGACATGGTATCAGGGGATGAGCAGCAGCATCAAAGTTAGTGGCACGAAGAGCATATCTCTGTCCTTGTCGCGCCATCTGTCTCTCCTTGTCTCAAACATGGCGGAAATATATTAGAAGAGTACCCCCGCGTAAAAATCGTTATTAACTCATTAATCACGAACCAAATGTGATTCAATGTGCTATTGGAATGTTGCTCGAAGTCCATTCTAGCTTCTTCAATTATTAATCATCGTGAATGATGTTTACGAAACGAGTGAATTAATTATTTATATGACGATGTTTTATTTTTTTGAGGTTATTCCAGGATACGGCTTCCAAAATTAATTGATAACTATTTAACAACGCATGAAATCTTAACAAAAACTATATGTGAAAGTGGCGGAAGGTCTATTTCACATTCTTCAATTGCAAATGTTCATAATTTATTAGCGAGAAGCGAGTAATTAACAAATCTTCCGTCGATTTATTATGTTAGAGAGAGACTCATCGTCTGTCCTTCTCTCACTCTGTAAAACGCATAAGTCCGTCCTTATTGGATACCTCCATGCACGTCATGTTTCATTAATACTTACCAGGGAATTCGAAATCCGGCGAAAAAGTTGGTGGCACGAAAGAGATGGCACCACAATAGTAATGTTCCTAGTATTATTGGCGGGAAAGACAAATTCTTCAATCTATATATTATATAGAGAGAGATTATATATATTTTCAATTAATTTCATAATAAAAATTTTATAAAGTTTGGGAATAAAAATCTTAGAAAATTTTGGGTACAGAATAGACACACTTTAATTATACTATTTTAAATTAAATTAATTAAAACACAATATTTCTTATTCACATCCCTTTATTGGAACAAATGTGTATTGTGTCCCACAGTGCGTAATATATAATGAACAATATAAATNTAATTATTTATATGACGATGTTTTATTTTTTTGAGGTTATTCCAGGATACGGCTTCCAAAATTAATTGATAACTATTTAACAACGCATGAAATCTTAACAAAAACTATATGTGAAAGTGGCGGAAGGTCTATTTCACATTCTTCAATTGCAAATGTTCATAATTTATTAGCGAGAAGCGAGTAATTAACAAATCTTCCGTCGATTTATTATGTTAGAGAGAGACTCATCGTCTGTCCTTCTCTCACTCTGTAAAACGCATAAGTCCGTCCTTATTGGATACCTCCATGCACGTCATGTTTCATTAATACTTACCAGGGAATTCGAAATCCGGCGAAAAAGTTGGTGGCACGAAAGAGATGGCACCACAATAGTAATGTTCCTAGTATTATTGGCGGGAAAGACAAATTCTTCAATCTATATATTATATAGAGAGAGATTATATATATTTTCAATTAATTTCATAATAAAAATTTTATAAAGTTTGGGAATAAAAATCTTAGAAAATTTTGGGTACAGAATAGACACACTTTAATTATACTATTTTAAATTAAATTAATTAAAACACAATATTTCTTATTCACATCCCTTTATTGGAACAAATGTGTATTGTGTCCCACAGTGCGTAATATATAATGAACAATATAAATATATATATATATATATTCGCAAAGTAATAACAACGATATAATAGTAACAAAGATATAATCCCACGATTGCGGAAACGTACAAAGATATATCTACTATCACATGAAACTATTATATACAATAATGACTTGCCGATATGCTGTTGCAAACTAAATAATTGGAAAGTGTTACAACGTCGTTTAGCTTTTAGTCGTTTCCTTCTTCTTTATCAGAGCCGAATATTTTCGGAAAAATTCTGGTCCATTCCACTGGCCACTGTAAATAATAACGGCAATTACAAAATTTATTTACATCAAGACTTTAAAAACGCGAACATTGTAATTTTACCGTAACATTAGATGCCAGTAGAGCAGTGGGAAAATATAGGTCTTGAGAAGAAACATAAAGAAATATTCTCGTCCTTGATTGACTGGAAATGTTTCTAATGGTTGCAAATTATAATCGAATTCAGCTAAAATACATTTAGAGTAGCCAGTAACTAAGGGACAAGATGAATATCCATTGTAAGCCAGAGACATCGGTTTATTAGCTAAATCGTCGCAAATGTTCTTGTATAAAACTTTTCCCTGGGCCGCTGAAAATAATATATATAAGTAAAAAATATTATATAAAATATACTATATAAAATAGGTATTATAGTACCTATTGCAGCCATCGTTTTCGAATTAGGAGAATTTGTACAATCTCCTATTCCAAATATGTTCGAATAAGTCGTATGCCTTAAAGTTTTCGGGTCAACAGAGAGAAATCCCATTTCGTTCGTTAATGCAGTATGCTTTTTTAAAACTTCCGGCGGACCCATCGGTGGACATACGTGAAGTAATGAGTACTAAAATAAAAACAAAATATTGGACATCGTCGCTTTCCGAAATAACAATTGAATTCTTAGAGTCCTTAGATATTGTTCATATAATACATAAAAGTACCTTTTCAACAATTGTCTCATCTGGTTTATCTAATTTCTGAAATACAGCTTCCTGAGAAGCCGGTCTGATTTCCACAAGACTCGTTTGAAGGTTTACTGTAATATTTTTTCTTTTACAAACGCCCCAAAGCGCATCGGCGTATTTTTTCACGCCAAATATAACTGGTAAAGAAGTGTTGTACACAACTTTTATTTTGTCACGTATATTTTCCTAGAAGAAAGAGAAAGTAATTATAAAAATATTAACACGCAAGTATCTGTGTACAGGAACGCCCAGTCTAGTAACAATACATACTTTGCAAAAGTATTCTTCTGCAATATATGCGATTTTTTGTGGTGCTCCAGGACATTTAACTGGACTATTTGGGTAAGTAAATATTGCTGTACCTTGCCTGGTTCTTTTTAGTTTAGTATAAACATTAGAAACAGTATCTGAGCCATAAATGGAACAAACTTGTGAGGTATAGTCTTTGAGGCCTTCTGCTAACCCTGGTATCTGGGATATATGTTGAATATAATTAATTTCCACTTGTTAGTTCAATGATATGAGATAAATTTTCCAACCTCACTTTTTCCCAATACAGTTGCATACCCATTGCAACGATCATGATCTCGTATTGCACAGTATCACCATTGGTCATAGTGACTTGATTCTGTTCTGGTTCAAAACTCATTGCATTTTCATGGAGCCACTTTGCATTTGATGGTAAAACCTTTTTCATTGGTCTTTTAGAGTCCTCAAAAGACCTGATACCACCACCAATTAAAGTGAACATCGGTTGATAATAGTGTACCTATAGAATAGAATCTTATTTAACGCAATCAAGTATTTTATAAATAGAAGTGTTGTATATAACAAAAGGTGAACTTACATCATTCGATTCTATAACAATAACTTTGTTTGGATCCTTAAATTTATTTGCAAATTTTGCAGCCATCGAGCAACCTCCAGTCCCGCCTCCAACTACCAATACTTTGCACCTGAAACATTTGTCCAGCATAAATATAATTATTCGATCCTGAGTGTTTAATATATGTAAAAAACTCACGAATGATGAAGATGTCTGTATCCATTTTTTAGCACCATGGTCCTTGCGAACGATTCAAAATTGCAGGTGAATAGACAGGACATCGGATAATATAAACTCTTAATGTGACTCATTGTGAAATCTGTTAATACAAGATTAACGCTGACAGCAGGCTATATATTTTTATTTCTGAAGAGACATATTCCTATATCAACCGACATCAAACATACATTAATTAAATTTTGATTCTTTGGGAAACAAAGTTACAAAAATATGTATTATTCGGTGAAAAATGATAAATAATAAAGAAAGTTAGGATTGTCAACAAACTTGTTATAAATAACTGATATAGAAGTCGATTGTGTTACGTTTTCTTTCACCATGTAAAAATAATAATCTATCAAAGTCTGAAGACATACCATGCTTGTGCAAATCTCACGCAATAACGTAGAGTGTGTAACCATGCACATAATATGCGATGATCTCAACAGAGTAAACTGTTCAGTGACAGTCCCGACAGTAAATATCAAATAAAACGTGGAATGCAAAAAAAGGTGAATTATATATCAATTTGATCACGTGTAAATGTTACGTACCCAAAACCTGGCAGTTGGCATCCGAATACGGCGAAAACTGAATACATACTGCAAACTAGCAATACTTCGCGACTGATATCTACACAGTAGATTCTTTTAACCTTAAAGTAGTGCGCAATCGCGAATTCAAAATTTCGAACGAAATCAAACAATTTCTATCTACGTTTTCATTATCGAATGATATAAATCCGATATCAATTATTTAGCAAGACACAAAATACGCTTTAATCCTCTTATCACGACGATAAAAATTGAAGTGTCAGATTCGAAATCACATCATGCAACACATATGACACCAAATTAACACTTGTACTTGCACATAGATGTTAAATCGAGGTGTCATTTTTCGCTTAAGACGTCTTAATTAAAACATACCTCAGTTTGTTCCATATCTAATCAAATTAAAATTAAAAATCTGCCGAGTACACGTG